GTGGGCGGGGTCAGGGTGCCGGGCTGCGGGTCCTTCCTCCCGACCCAGTGCCCCCAGCACCGGTGATCCTGCTCGGCCCTGGGGACCCAGGGCTCCTGTCCCAGGGGCGGGCCGGGAAGTAAACAGAAACTCGCAGCGGCGGCGTTGGTGCGCAGGCTGGCACAACCTGTTAACCTCGCCCTGCGTGGCCCTGCTGCCACGGCTCTGGGAGGTGAGGGTCTTCAGGTAACAGCTCTGGGTCCCAGCAGGCGAGGTCAGGAACGTCTGGGTCTTGGAAAAGATGAGAGGCTGAGGCTATGAACACAGGAGGAAGGGACACTAGGGGTGGGACCTTCAAGTCTGGAGTTCAACCCCCCTGGGAAACTAGGAGAAGGAAGGGCAGGGGCTGGGGCTCTGGGATTCTGTGGGGGAGAAGCTGTAATCTTGGGGCACAGGGACCTGGACACCTGTGTTCCGAAGGGGGAGTGTTCCACACTCTTGGAAGGAGCTGGACTTATCCCTCAGGGCCAGGTCGACATCAGCCTGGGTTCTGGAGGTTGAGGCCCAGATGGTGAGGAGCTGGGAGTCAAACAGCTGAGCTCTGGAAAGGGGACAGGGACCACTAGGGGTATGGCTGTGGGCCCAGAGCACTGGGCCAAAGCGTCCTGGGGCAGAAGCAAGAGGCAAGACATCTCATTTCCTTCTGTTCCCTGCCCCGGTCTACCCTGGGGACATTAACGGAGTTGGGTGGCCAAAACATAGATCATTAACCCCTCCTGTCTCAGGGAGGCCCTGGCTGCAGGACTGGATGGCCAGGTGTGGGGCAGCAGTGGGGGAGCCTTTGAGCCTGTAGCAACCTGTTCCCACAGATGCTGCAGATGCCATGAGCTCCCCAGAAGGGCCGAGCTTACCCACAGGGCCACTCTCGGGGGGCACCTCCCCCAGCGGCGACGAGGGCTTCTTTCCTTTTGTGCTGGAACGGCGAGATTCATTCCTGGGAGTGAGCCCGGGGCCTGAGGAGCCAGAGGACCTGGCCCTGCAGCTACAGCAGAAGGAGAAAGACTTGCTGCTGGCTGCAGAACTTGGCAAGATGCTTCTGGAGCGCAATGAGGAGCTTCGCCTGCAGCTAGAGACACTGAGCTCCCAGCACGCTGAGCGTGAGGAAGTGAGCTGGCCACTGGGGCCTGGCGGAGGGCAGGGGGACTGGGGTGACCAGGGAGGGGAGCAAGACGTGGAGAGGAGTAAGGAGCATAGGCAGGCAAGTGGGCAGGGGATGCCTCTGGAATAGCCTAGGACTGGGCCCAGGTCCCCTGGCAGTGTGGCCCAGTGCTTAGGAACAAGAATCCTGGGCTGGGGCTATAGCTCAGTGGCAGGGCACTTCCAGTATGGTCCCAGTGCTTAGGAACAAGAATCCTGGGCTGGGGCTATAGCTCAGTGGCAGGGCACTTGTCCAGTATGGGCAAAGGTTTGAATGTGACCCCCAGTACTAAAAAAAAAAAAACAAACAAAATCTAAGGGCAAGTCAATATCTAAATTCAGACCTCTGCTTGACTGTGTGACCCTGGGCAAATTGCTGGCCATCTCTGGCTCTTCGGCCTGGCTTCTCAGCAGCGTAGTGTAACCCCACCCAACAGGTCCTGAGAGCCACTCCCTCCTGCACCTGGCTAAGTGCTCTCCATGCCTCATCTCAGTTTATTCTTGCTCAGCGTTGCAAAGTAGGAAGGGTTCTTCCTTCTACCCAGGCTGTGGTTGGCCGCACTCTCATGCTGGAACTCACATCTGAACCCCTAAACACCCTGATGTACCCATGTTGTCAGCCCCAATCCCTGCTCTGAGCTGACCTGGATACAAACTGTCCCGTGCCCTTCCCACCAGACTGCAGACTGGGCAGCTCACTACAATGGCCCTGATTCCTCGTGCACAAGCCCTCTCCCCTCTGGTGAATCCAAATTCACCTGCTTCCGGTGGTCTCTGCAGCCCAGGGCCAGCCCCGCTCCCCTCTGCCTGACCTCTCCTCCTGCCTTCTGGAGTCTGTTCCCGTGCAGGCAGCCAGTGATCAGCTCATTTCGTTCTTGGCCCAGAATCTCCCCACAGTTCCCTATCACACTTACGATGAAAATGAAACTTCTTGCACAGCCTAAAAGTCCCCAAGCTGACTCAAACTTGTACCCACAGGGCCTTTGTACGGCCTCCCCTTAAAGCAGCCCTCTTCCTTGTTATCTCCTTGCCCTGCAGGAGTCAATCCCAACATCAGCTCCTCTGAGAGAGATGCCTCCCGCTTCTCCTCAATGATCACTTCCCCAGGTTTCCTCACAGCCCTCGATGTCCCTCTGAAATTATTGGGTTCCAGCACGTAATTCGCCTGTGGCCCTCTGGATCTAGGATGCTGAGGCAATGAACTTCATGGTCTTGCTCAGACCCCCGGGACAGAAGAAGCTCAGGAAGTAGAGCAAGGAGGAAGGATGGGACTTAGAGATATGAAAGGGACTTGCCCGGGCCACACAGCAACAGAACTGAGCACCAGCCAGGACAGTCAGACCTCACAACCTGCCAGCTTAATTCCAGGGCCATATTAGGTTGAGTTTGGCTGCGGGGCTGGACCTCCAGCTCCACTAACTTACTGTGTGTCCTTAGGCAAGAAGGCACTGAACCTCTCTGAGCTTGTTTTCTCATCTGAGAATGTTAGTGATGCTCCCTCTAGTGGAGTAAGTGAAATACTGCAGGTAGAGTGCATGGCAGGGTTACCTAATACAGTATCGTAATTGTAAATATGGTTATTGTCGCCCGCTCTGGGCCCTTCCTGTTTTGAGGACCTAGAAAGAGCGACCCCCTGACTTGACTTCCCCCTCAAGATGGGCATCTGAGTATGCCAATCACACGTCCCCCCACTGGTCAGACGGGTTTGGGGATGGGCAGGCAGAGGGTGGGGCTCAGGTAGGGCTGGCCAGGGCTAATTAGAGGGAACTGGGAGAGGGACTGGGCAGAGACTCAGCCTGCAGATCCCCTAGGACTCCACAGGTGTGAGAGTGAGGCCATGGGCCGTGGCTTAAACTCTACCAGACTCAGGCGCCAGAAACGGCGCTTGCGACCTCGGGTCCAGGAGCCCAGGCAGCAGCCTGAGGTGAGTGGGTATCAGGGAGGCCTTACTCTTGCCGTGCTAGGGTCAGCCTTCTGCTCACCCTGGAACCTCCTCTCCACTGCCTCTGATACTTGGGTGTCCGCCGCCCTATGCCCTTCTTTCCTGCTTTCATGTCTGTGTCCGACACCCGCTCCCTCACGTGCTCTCTTTGGGTCCGTGTCCCTCCCTGCTCTGTGGGTCAGCTCCAGCTTGATGTCACCTTATCTCCGACCCTCTGCATGGTCCCCACAGCGGCTCAAGCAGGAGAACCATGAGCTCCGCAGGGGCCTGGCAGCCCGGGGTGCAGAGTGGGAGTCCAGAGCTGTGGAGCTGGAGGGCGACCTGGCAGCCCTGCGGGCCCAGCTGGGGGAGCAGCGCTCAGAGCAGCAGGACAGCGGGCGTGAGCGGGCTCGGGCTCTTGGTGAGCTCAGTGAGCAGAACCTCCGGCTCAGCCAGGAGCTGGCCCAGGTGAGTGGCCCTAGCCCCAGGAGAGGAGGGGGCTGCCACTGCCTGTGTTCCCAGGGGGGTAGGTGCCTTGGTTGGGAGTTGAGACTAGAGTCAGCTGGGGAGTCCACTCCCCGTCTCTCCCACCCAGGCCTCTCAGACCGAGCATGAGCTTCAGAGAGAACTGGATGCACTGAGGGCCCAGTGTCAGGCTCAGGCGCTGGCCGGAGTGGAGCTGAGGACCCAGCTGGAGAGTCTGCATGGGGAGGTAAGTCTGCAGGGTGGGAATTTGGGGCGGGAACAGTCTGAGCTACAAGGATTGGGGTGGGGGCATCCGGGACACCTCTCCCAGCTCTATGGCCTTGCCCCAGAACCAGATGCTGCAGAGCCGCCGACATGACCTGGAGGCCCAGATTCGAGGCCTGCGTGAGGAGGTGGACAAGGGCCAGGGTAGACTGCAGACCACCCATGAGGAGCTGATGCTGCTGAGGAGGGAGAGGCGGGAGGACAGCCTGGAGGTGACCTCGGGCTGGCCTGGGTGGGCAATCAGCAGGGCCCTTGGTAAGGGCCTCGGGATTTCTGGGAGGGATGGCCAGAGCTGGGTCACTGGGAGGCTGGCAGCTGTGCCAGAAGAGCATGGGCATTAGCCTGAGGGCAAGTGGGAGTCACAGAAGGCTGTTGGGGGCGGTAGACTCTTAGGATGAGTCAGAGCCTGGCTGCTGAGAGACCAGGGAGGGGGGTCGAGGCTGGGTTCCAACTGGAAATGCCTGGCTTGGACCACATTTGGGGAGTGGAGATGGAGACAGGGAACGAAAAGGAAGCAAGGTCCAATGTTTGAGATCTCAGGAGTTTGCACTTTGAGGTCAGATTGCCTGGCTTTTTACCTCAGTGTCCATTCTTACTATTGTGGGGTGCCCAGCCTCAGTTTCCGCATCTGTGAGATGGGATGGTAATGACTGGTGAGGCTGTGAGGCTCAGAAGGAAGGATCAATAAACTCTGAGTCCAGGCAATTAGAGCTAGAAGGTAGCTGTGCAGGAAAAGGGACGTGCTTTATGGGAGATGACTTTGATGGGGTGTGGCTGGGAATAGTTGATCCCAGGCGCGTCCTGCTTTATAGGTAAAAAAACTATAAAGCCCAGGGGAAGTTCGTGGCTGAAGGTGGCCCTGTGATCCAGGCTTGCGTGGGAGCTGGGGTGCTGCTGCCCCGGTAGGTCCATCTCAGGTTGCAGGCGCCTGCCCGCGAGCCGACCTTCTGTGCCTTGGGTCGACCCTCTGCAGCTGGAACGCGCGCGCTTTGAGGCTGGTGAGGCTCTGAACGCACTGAGGAGGCTGCAGCGCCGAGTGTCGGAGCTGGAGGAGGAGTCGCACCTCCAGGACACCAATGTGTCAAGTGCCTCGCTGCAGTCTGAGCTCGCCCACAGCCTGGACAGTGACCGGGATCAGGAGCAGGACGCCAATGCAGGCGAAGATACCCAGGTGAGCTCCCGGATCCTGGCCCCCACCTATGCCATGAGCAAGCAGTGTGGAGCTCCACTGATCCACGGCACTGCCTGATCCTTTGCTCCACAGATCACCTCATCCCCAGAGACCCAAGAGGCTTCTGTCCTCCAGTCTGCACCCCAGGTGGATAGCTTGGAGCCCCCCAAGAAGCGAGCACCCCTAAGCCCAGCGGAGATCCTGGAAGAGAAAGAAGCGGAAGCGGCCAGGCTGCAGGACGAGGTGGGGACTACTTGAGCACAGAGCCCTATCAGCTGCCCTGTTCTCTTTCCCGTCTCCCCTTCCCGGCCTTGGTCCGCGAAGCCCGTCCCTATACCTGGGTTTCCCACCATCTCAACAAACTTACCGTCAAAAGTCAACAACCAGACTGGCTGTGGCATGCGTGTAATCCCAGCATTCTGAAAGGCTGAGGCAGGAAGATTAGGAGTTCAAGTCAAGCTTGGGAACTTTAACAATTTAACAAGACCCTGTCTCAAGACAAAAACAAAAACAAACAACTGGGGGTGTAGCTCAGTGCAAAGGCCCTGGTTCAATCTCCTGTGTGGGAGGAGAGGGGCTCAGGGGGTATAACTCCAGGAAGACTTCCTGGGCTAACCCACCCATCCTCACCCTCATTCCACTCCCAGCAATGCTCCCTGAAACCCTCCTGCAAGCTTTTACTCCCGGATTAGTGCTGCTGCTCAGAGGGTTCACCTCCAGAGCAGGGCCACAGTGTTCGTGCCTAGTGTTTGTGGAACGGGCAAGGGAGGGCAGTGAGAGCCGGGCAAGTCAGAGCCAAGACTACGTAGCAGGTCCCGGGCCCCACCTGTCTCGCTGCCTCCTCTCCTACCTGCAGATTGCGCTGCAGCAGGCAGAGCTGCAGACCCTGAGGGAGGAACTGCAAAGGCAGAAGGAGCTGCGGGCACAGGACAACCCGGAGGAGGCCCTGCGCAGTGCACTGTCGGACCGCGACGAAGCCGTGAACAAGTGAGCCTCTGCCATCTTCTTCCAGTCGCCTAGCGGAGTGACAGGGTCCAGGGTACTTCTGGCTTTCCCATCCGTGATGTGGCTGTAATGATTCCCACCCGGACCCGGGGAGCCCCCGACAATTTTGGTCTCAGTGTAAGCAACTCCGTCACACCGACGCCCAGGAGCCCTCAGCGTCCTCAGACTGTTCCTGCCCTTCCCGCCCACAGGGCCCTGGAACTGTCCCTGGAGCTCAACCGCGTCTCCCTGGAGCGCGACTCCCTGTCCCGCGAGCTGCTCCGCACGATCCGCCAGAAGGTGGCGCTAACGCAGGAGCTGGAAGCCTGGCAGGTGAGGCGCCAGGCGGGTTTCGGTGGCAGGGCTGGGGAGGATGGACCTCGTCACATCCCCAACCCGCCTCCTGCAGGACGACATGCAGGTGGTGATCGGGCAGCAGCTGCGCTCGCAACGCCAGAAGGAGCTGAATGCAGCAGCGTCGGGCCCACGCCGCACCTCGATTCTCTTCACCGGCAGCTTCCTCAGTAACTTCTTCCGGCGGACCTGACAGCCGGCTGAGGGGACACCCTTCCCCATGGTGGCATTTACTTTCTTCTAAGGAAGTTCCACGGAGGACCAGGGCCCTTCTGTCCCTCCCCCCAAAAAGCTGGGCCAGGGGTTTCTTCCGGGTCAGGGGTCAGCGTTGGTGACAGGGCAGAGCTTTTTCCTATCGGTATAGGTCTGTCTTTAAGCACTAGGCCCCCTGCTCTTGGCAGCTCCAGGGCAGGAGAGGGGGTGCATATTTATGTCTCAAGATTGGACAGAGTAATATATAAAGCACTACATGGACTTTTGGCCTCCATTCTTGGGAAGAAAGCACGACGGACAAAAACTTGAAAGTTTATTGTTAAAAAAAAAAAAAAAAAA